ATACTTGTTCGACACCACCTTTCGGGAGAAATTGTCACGAGAATCACTCTAGACCCACCAAGAGTGGAAAGCGAGTGGGATTGTGTAATCTTGGATATTTGTTCTTCGTGTATTTCATTTCCTCATAATATTTACATTTCTGGTATCAGCCGTGTGTTGTATATACATCCTCTACACGTTTGGTCTTCAACTGATTGAATATACAGTATGTTCCGTTCAAACCTCATTAATCATAATTAAATATTGCGGACAAATTATGATAAATTATTTATTATAATTAACACTAGAAGAAAGAAAAACTCAAAGAATTTTATTTCATGGCTTTGAAGTTGATCTCTCGCTCACTACGCAGCGCCACGGTCGCATGAAGCAAAATGGCGACTCCACAGCAGCGTGCACAAACAGCAGTGTGGTATGCGGAAACAAAATCAATAATTTCAGTGCAAAGAAATTAGCGACGAGAGTATGGAGGAGATACAGCTGATAGGAAAACAATTAAGGTATGGTTCGGGAAGTTTCTGGCGACTGGAAATGTTCTATAACAATCTGCGAGACCTCGTCGAAGTGTTTCTGAAGAGAAAAGAGGAAGAAATTCGAGCGGGGTTTCAGAGCAGCCCAAGGAAATCAATTCGCCAGGCATCAAGACAATTCTACGTGCCGCCAATAACAGTGCATCGAGTGCTGCATAAAGCGGCTTCGTTTACATCCTTACAGAGTGCAAATTGTTCAACAATTAAAGCCAGACGACGAGCCCCGTCGGCGGGAATTTGCTATCGAAATGCTGGATCGTATCGACACGAGCCCTCAGTTTCTTGGGAACATCTTGTTTTCAGACGAGGCCAAATTTCATCTGTCAATCTGTCAATCGGCATGACGTACGGATCTGGAGCATGCAAAATCCGCACGTCTACAGAGAACATATCCGAGATAGCCCAAAATTAAACATTTGGTGTGGCCTAATGAAGGACAGGATTATCGGTCCATTTTCTTTCGGTGAAGCTACAGTATCTAGCCGCTTATACCTTGACATGTTAGAACAGTTCCTGTATCCCCAGGTAGCCGATCTGCAGCCTAACACAATCTTGCAACAAGATGGAGCACCCCCCACATTGGGGTCTGGATGTTCGGAGGTCCCTCAGTGCTACTTTCCAAGATCGCTGGATTGGACGCCGCGGACCAATTCGGTGGCCACCACGTTCACCGGACCTCACTCCGCTCAATTTCTTCCTCTGGGGTTACGTGAAGGACCGTGTGTTCGTGCCTCCAGTGAATGAACTCGCAGATTTACAAGCCCACATCCGTGAAACGATTGCTACTGTACCAATGGGCATGTTGGAAAGAACGTGGCAAGAAATTGAATACAAAGTTGATATTCTTCGTTCTATCAATGATCCACATGTAGAGGTATATTAGTATGTCAAATAAAATTTGTTGACTTGTTCTTGTATTTCCTCTAGCTTTATTTTCCTATCATTCATACTTTCTGTTCATTTCTTGTTAGTTACAACTTGTATATGTACAGTAGTTACCTATTTAATACTCGTTGGTTATTTGTTGTCCTATATGGAAGTGTTTCCGCTATTTCTTTGACTGCCCTTTTTTTTCTTCTTCTTCCCACCCCAGCATCATCAGTTCAATGTCTATTGTTCCGGCGAGCATGGGGAACTGAGAAACAAGACAACGGATGTTGGATCAGTACTGTGGTCTATGAAACCGATAACATAACTTTAAAACTGACCAGGGCAATAGAAGGTAGCAGGAATACGGTACACACAAGCAGAAACAAGTTGGGAAATAAGCTCACAGCGCAACATTTCTGCGTCTAAGCTCTTCTGTTGCGTCTTAAATTTTCAATTCGCTAATATTAACCTCTCCTACAAACAGCTTACAGATGTAAGTATTTTATCTGGCAGATACCAGCCCTTTAGCCCAACGCAAAGGGCACGAAACATGAACCTTGCAAACATTTATTTCCATATAACTGCAAGGTTAAGAGTGCCTGGAAATTACAAGCCCTTTGCCTTTGTTATTCTATATCTAATCAAATGGTCCAACATTTTGGGCATAATTTCTGCCCGATGTTATGCAGCGTCAGTACATAGTTCCTTTCTGATCCACCGCCAGTGAGCAGCGTGTAATCCGCTGCTGCCATCTTGAGCCTATTTCAGCAGTTTGTTGTTGCTCTGTGCCGGTATAGTTAAGGCAGCCGGTATGAAAACGTACTGCTGTATCTTCCCATGCGGACAGCCAAGCGTGTCTTTTTTTTTTTTTTAATGGCGTCAGACACCCCGGATTCTTTTTTCGTTCACGATCCTTAGTATACATTACAAATATCTAACACAGTGTCATATGCTGAGGTTGTGAATTATTGAATATTTTGTTATGGGATGATTTTGAATTATAAACTGTGTTGTGAACCCCGTTACATGCTGTTGTCCTGCAGCACCTATTTTTGATTCTTTAATATCGACTGTCGGCAAAACGTGTGCTCTGTTACTTTCTTACTTTCAAAATCTTCCTTCCTTCCACAGTTGCTTCTCTATTCTTGTCCCAACATCCGATGAGCACAAGGATAACTCCTCCATTTGAGATATGGTGTTCAAAGTTTCTCAGGTAGGGTGTATATGTCATTTATTAACAGTTGAAATAACATTTAATAAAAATGGCAGTCACTGCAAATAATGAAAGAAAGGAAGGCGAAGAATAAAAGTGGTTTGAAGGGGCAGTGAAGAAGTGAAAGACTGCAAGTTGATGAATAGGGCTGAAGAGAGGGGACTGAAATGAAATATGTGTGAATGAATACAAACATGGGGGGGGGAAGTACAGGAAATGTGGGAATTTGTGGTAGTGGTCACATAACTGTGGAATGCTTTAGTGAGGACAATATGTAGAGGAGTTAAAAAGAAACTGTCCTAAAAGAAAATAATTTTTCTATAGAACTGGTTCATTAGGCCAAGTGATGGCTGTTGGTATTACTAGTGTTCACACTTCAGGTTTGCTTTCAGTACCACAACTCTTTGAAAATACGGGGGCAGTACAAGACTTATTGATGTATAATATTACAGAACCAAAGGGTGTGAAAACAGTTTTCACTGCTTACAGATAAATATTTACAATCCCTGTTGGTCAGCATCTGATTCCCCTATGAGAATAAGGCACTTTTTAGCAAAAAGATCATGTTCAGTGTTAGTTTATACACACTGATATTACCTGGATTTTTCTGTACACAATTCAATATCTAGAAGCACAGATAATCCAGTGTGAGTACAAACCCTTCTGCCCTCCTCCAAAACAAATTTCACTGCAAGGATTTTGCATTCTATTTTCTGTTTCTATTTCATTTCATTTTCCTAATACCACTGTCTACCTGCATTTGTCTTCTCTTTAATTATATTAGTACCTAATATTAATAAACATCTATCCCCTGTCAAGTAGTTGTGATTCTGTAAAAACAATAAAATATGTATTTTAAATTATTGATAACTAACATGTAAGTGTTTGTGGCACATTAAGGGTTAGTTAATAGAGGTTATGTTGAACAAATGTCAGGGCATGAGGGTGTTGTAATCTTGTACCAGAGGCCAAGCTCTTACATTGCACTCGAGACTCAAAGACACTTTGGTATGCCTGCGTTTAAGTTACAGTACTCAGTATATTGTAATGTGTGTATCCATCGTTAAACACATTCTCTATGAAATAAATATGTAGGCAACAATAGAGGAATTGCTAGAATACAATGTTCTCAATGTGCTTTCTGTGCGTGGTCTGTACCACAATCCCTCTAAAAAGGGACCGATTGGCAAAATCCTAAGGACAACAATATGAATGTTCACCAACTGTGCTGCAGAACCTTCAGTAAAGATTAACACAAAAACTGTCAGATGCTGGTTTCTTTGAAGTATGTCCATTATTTATTCTGTCTTACAGTGCATACATTTATTCACCTTACTCTTCTCTCTTGCACTACATGTTTCAGCACTAAAGTGCCATCTTCACGCAGTCACAGGAGTAAGATACAACACAAAGCACAATACACATGAAAGTAGGAAGAATACTCCGACAGAAGAAGATAGGTGTGACTCGCGTACTGAAATACGACATAAGGATGACAAATCCTGAACAGTTTTTAACATTTTTAATATTTAAAATTTAGCAATATATTTGACGAATATATATTTTAGTTATTTTAGTATAAAGACAACAGGGCATGCAATGCAGTAGTTCGACGTACATCGAAAAGCACCTGAAGATGGCACTTTAGTGCCGAAACATGTAGTGCAAGAGAGAAGAGTAAGGTGAATAAATGTATGCGCTGTAAGACGGTCAGAATAAATCATGGACATAAGTCAGTGCAACAGGACGCTAAAATATAACATTCTTTGAAGTAATTCCCAATTCGAGCCAGAACCTAGCAGAATTTATTAGTTGGTTATAATGCTGTTATTTTTTCAAGTACATGTATGTATACCTCTAGACAGCATCATGGATCACTACTATAAAGATGAGGAATAAGGTGAGAAGGTTTTTCAGTGCAATATGTATAGTTCCATTAATTTGATATCGATATTTTATTTTCAAAATACATTACATCAATATCATGAAGAATTACCACTGTGATTAACTTCAAATTACATTTCCTTATTTTGGTTCCAGCTATGGATCACATTTAACAACAAAATTAATTACTAGCAGATCTTGTTTCACAGCTCATATGAATCAAATGGATGTAACTGGATGCAATGAAAATTAACAAGGTAACATAACAGTCCTGGTGGGTTTTGTACAAGAGGTTTGTTAACTCCGGTCTAGAAAACAGAGATTAACAGCCATGGGGATACATTGTTCTGATCACACAACACCCTCTATATGCAAAGGTTTGCACTAACTTCGCCGACAAGCAGCGGTTGCTGGGTCAGTATAGTTCGCTTGCGGACTACAGGCCACAGAGTTTTGTTTTTGTTTGTTTGAGGTTTGTGAACAAAAATATTTTAAAAATTCTGTTTTCATCTTCACATTTCTTTTAAATAGAATACAGGTTAAAGTAGCTATATAGCTGAAAGAAAGCAATTTCAATGGTCCTCTGAGCTCTTGATCATGATCAGATTACCAAAGAGCAGACCACCCTCATAATTATAATGATGTTGCATGATTATTAACAATCATATATCAGTGTGGTCATTATGAAGACACTCTTCTATGTATAAAGAAGACAATGCTTCAAACACTGTAACATGAAACAGTACACTTGGAGATGTAATATGCACACATATCAGAACAGGATTCAGTTACCTTCTTTTTAACGTCTTCAGAGAACTTAATTATATATTACTAAATTCACTGTTACTTTACAAGTGCAGAAACATATCACTTGGTGCCTCTGTCGACAGTAAGTAGCTGCTATTGAATATTGAATTATAAAGATATCAGCACTGGAAGTACAGAATGTGTACATATAAAATATAAAATATTTGCTATTTTAATGACAGAAATGCTTATATAAATGCTTCAGTTATTAAATTCTTTGACTTTTTATAAGACTCAAAATGTCCATATAAAACCATTTAATTTTAGGATAAAAACTGGTCCACAGTACTATACAATTGTTAGACATATATACATTATTAGTATTAAAACACTTAAGCAACATTTTAAGCTAACGTTCTTTGTTTCCTCCTCACAGATGTAGATATTACCATATTACTGTAATGTAGAAACACTGAAATATATCCACATATGATTATAGACAATATGAGAACATAAAATTGCAATATTTTCTGCAGCAAAAGACAACGAGTCAGATTCTTTGAATGCACTATAGTGTTACAAGAATTCACTTGTATAAATATGAATGAATAACATTTGAGATAGTGTGTGCTTTCTGGTGGTAACTGTAACAAATTAAGAATTTGTTTTTTATTATTGCATCCTACTTTGATATTAAATTTAAATTGAAAGGCACATCTTATAACATTCCCAGTGCAGTAAATATCAAGAAGTCTGATAAATTTGTGAGAAAGTACGTAATGAAGAATAATTATCTATGAAAAAAGAAGTTGACAACATAATATAAATATGAGATCAATAAATGCAGTTATATAAACTTAAATCTCCACAAAAAAAAAAGGCAGCAAAAATAAATGTTTTTCATAGCTGACACTTTACAATAACATACTATACCTTAATAAGTGAACATTATAGTAAAAGTTCTCCGTCTGTATCCACAGATGGAATGAATGAATGAATGAATGAATGAGAGAGAGAATTAATGAACAAATGAATGAATCAATCAATCAATCAATCAATCAATCAATCAATGAGAAATGTAAATGTTTATAATACCCTGGTGCTTGTTACCGATTTTCTGTTTATGTAATAAAATAAATGGTATTCAATTCAGACCTGATATCAACAAGTGTTGTACGTTAGTGTGAAAGTCTCCTCATCCACTATTGTACCCATATATTCAGAAGGATTAATTCATACACAGACTATTGTCACACTTTGTGTTTACTTATTAAAATATCAATATGTATTTTCTAAATATATAACATATAGGAATAGAATAAAGTTAGTTTTACACATTCTTCAGTTTTGTTTTTAGTATGTATGTCTTCACATTTATCAAAATATGCACCTATGTTCTGGTAATATCAGATAAAAAATATAGTATCCTATTCATTTTATTTCAGATCCAAAATATATTTCTTAAGAAACATCAAGCAGCTCCTAAACATTAAGTGATAATTTTAACACCGAGTACAAAACATAAATATTATCATATTCTGCACAGAAATCCAGATTCTTGGGTGTACTTCAGGCAGTGAGATTATTAAGCTGAAAAAAAAATAGAAAAAAATTTATTCCCCACGGAAGCTGAGAACTGAATCAACGAGGAATACAACTCCAGTGATGATTGCCATGGCCCCCTTGGACAGACCGATGTTTCGAGTTTCTTTCGAACCGTAGTATCCATCAAAATACTGTATCACAAAGGAGCCAGCAGCAATAAATAGGGCACAGCCAACCAAGCTGTAGAAGATATCCTGAAAACAGATCAACATTTAAGCAAATCATAACAGTATTGAGATTATCGAGAAATATGAGAAATATGAATTAAATTAGTTGCTATTATAATGCCATTATGTGAAATATATTTAATTTAATGGGTAGTGTTATGTCATGAATGGATAGAATCACACATTTAAAAGGACCTGCCTGTGCAAAGGAATAAAATTATTTTCTTGTCGCTTCTGTCTCTAATCGTGCATGTTTATGATGAAAGTTGCTAACCTGATTTCATTTAGTTCATAAATGAAACATGTTTGGGGGGGAGGGGGTGCGTGTGCACGCACATGCACGCGCTCATGTGGTGTTCTCCCCTTCAACCTCTGAACGAACTGACACATACACATGAAACACAGCACAGGCGTTATATCACTACATTGCTGAACTTTTTTAATACCTTACAATCTATTCTAACACAGTGGGCACATGAATTTGTGAGACTATACTGACACTAGGACAATTTAAATTTCGGCCCTGAATTGCAATAACCAGGGCCCAGATATTGATGACCTGAAAATATTTAAAAAATGACCGAAAAAATCCAGAAAAATGACCTAAAACATGACCCAAAAAATGTAATATGCAGGGCCCGAATTTTGATGACCTGAAAATATTCAAAAAATGACCTATAAAATTACCGAAAAAAATCCAGAAAAAATGACCTAAAGGAGAAAAGAAAGAACACTTCGCTTCCATGTTATTCACATTTCAGAAAACATATGAAGAAAAATTCACTAAAGGGGCCAAAAATGACAAGAAATACCTTAAAAGTCCAAAAATTTACCAAAAAATTACCCCGAAAATGAAAAAATGACCCTAAACCTAAAAATGTAAAAAAAAAGACAAAAATTACCTATAAAATTTACATTTCTGTAACCAGCAGCTCATATCCTAGATTTATATATTTAAGAGCATTACGTAGGATACAAGGAAAAAAGATGACATGTCATCAAAATCTGGGCCCTGATAATAACGAATCTTAGAATGTAAAAACCATGATGTGAGCAAAATCTTCAGCAGCTTTTGGTCTCATAAAGATAATGAACGACTTGGGATAGGAATGTGAAACTTGGTACAGAGACAATAAATACACCTATATATGACATGTGAACTGTTGTTCTAAGTCAATTACAAACATTGTGATGGTGTGCTGATTTTTTGTTTTGTTCAACAAATTTAATGTGGATAAAATCAATGTTTATTTTATAAGCGATTTACAAAAATAACAAACGTAACAATAACATTGATAGATCTAATTGACAGGCAGTGTATGCAGTAGGGAAACAGACTCTGAATTCTCTTCAGAACCCGGTGTTTAAAAATGGTTTGGTATTTCAGTTGATTTGATGATGCTCATTATCAAAACTGCATAGCATCAATGCCAGAATAAACAATGGCTACAGAGAAGTTTGTAGAATGATAACGGGCAGGGGAAACCAAAGTACTTGGAGAAAACCTGCCGCAAATCATCCACTACCACATGACCTGACAGGCATCGAACCCAAGGCCACAGGTGATGTGAAGCCAATGACTAAAGCCTGAGTTATGGCACAGCCCTTGAAATGTTACAGAATTCAGTTATTCAGTATAGATACGAAGATGATGTGAGAGTAGAGACNTCGCAGAAACCGATGTTGCTATAACCAAGTTTTACTGTATAGTGAAACTTATCTACAGCCAAAATGAATCATAAAGTTCAAAACCTCACAAACTGTGTCTCTAGGATCTGTTGTAAGAGTAATGGCAGGTCATGTTCTTATTGTTGCTCGCAATACCACACCGCATTATGCACATGACTGCCGTTAAAACCCATTCATGTAAATTATAACAAAGAATGACATCTTCTGGGATGTGGTGCCGTGTAGATCTTGTGTGAACCAACATTTCGCAGGAACGTGTCGCCTCCATCTTCAAGGCAGAAATATCCGCGAGCAAGGAACGAACGTGAGCAGGTGGCTACACTTGATTTTTTCTACCCTGAAGATGGAAAAGATATGTTTCTCCGAAACGTCGGTTCACAAAAGATATACACGGCGCCACATGCCAGAAGATGGCATTCTTCATAGTCACCGCTGTGTAAACCTCAAATCTTAAATATGTAATATTCTCACTATTCGTTTGTTGATAGGCTGGCCGGTAAAGATGCCTGTCAGTATGCCGACTAAGATGACGATGTAGCCTCCAAATGCAGCGCTGATGATCATCAGTTCGTGGAAAGAGCTGCTTCCCGTCTGACTGTGGTAATGCAGCGCCAAACAGATAATGGCAAGTGCCTGCAAAATACAACTATAGGTTAGCTCACTGTTATATATGGGTGCAAATTTCATCTACCTTCCCGCTAAAAAAAACCAATTGAGGGTGTTCACGGAAACAAAGCACCAAATAGAATTAGTTGTGTAACGTGGCGCGGGTCCCCAGCTTCTGGGTTTCCTTTGTGTCTCTGGCAGCCCAAATTTATCCATAAATACCATTTCGTCAATATGCGTATCTCGCAACGCGTTTCTGGTGCTTTGGGTTGGAGATGGGTAGACTTAAGAAATCGTGCAGATGGTCCTGGTAACCAAAAAGCGCTGTAGTCCACCAGCGAACTATACCGACCGAGCGACCGCCGCTTGTCGGTGAAGTTAGTGCCAACTTCTGCGGATAGAGGGTGTCACGTGGTCAGCGCAACGGATCACCACAGCCGCTATTTCCCTGAAATAGCTCCTCAATTATCATCACGAGGCTGAGTGGACCCTGTTTCAGACCCACTACTTCTCAGAAAATCTGGTAGCGCCGGGAATCGAAGCCGGGGCCTCTGGATCTGTAGCCAGGAACTCTGACCACTGGACCACAGAGACGAAAGGCCACAACTGAATGGATTAGTTGGAAAGTGGTATATGTCCAATGGATAAAAACCGACATCTTACCTTTTCAAACTAATCGATTCAGTTGTCTAATATCTGTACAATATTGTGTAGTACTCCCATGATTGGAGTGTGTCTAAGGAAAAATTTGTAAATAGTGGTAATAGGAAAGAGTCAGATGATGGGAAAAGATTCGTAACTGGGAGTCACTGGCTTGTAGGTCATGTTAGTTAGTTATTTTGGCACCTATTTAATGGGTTTACGTAATTTCAAATGATAAACTGTCCTAAGTGTCTATCCAGGAAATGTGTTCAGTGTTTTCTGAATTATTAAGGTTCCGTAATCATGATATATAATCGAATTAAACAGAAACTAAAAGTGCATCACACACTAGAATTGAGGTTAGTAGAGTGAGCTACCAAGTTCCTCACGTGAGCCTCTGGTGACGTGGCAGATATCCAGGCAACATTCTCTCTCAGCCCAGATAACTTGTTCCTGAGGCTACAGTAACAGGGACCATTTACGCGGACATACCAGAAAGCTTGATTTTCAACAGTTGGAAGAAGAGCAAATTGAAGTTTCGCAAAATGACGGTTCAACGTCCCCTTTGAACGCAGGTGGAGCTGTACGATTTTCAGTTTCCAGATTGTTAGAAGTATTTCATAGTTCCCTGGGATTAACTTCACTTGATTTTCTTCAGGCACAAAAAATTATAGTTTATGGAACCATTGTCCATTCAGGTTCCTCAAAACGTTATAAAAATAGGATTATGGCAGCTACTAAAGCTATGAACACCAGAGATGTTCGAACGTGTTTGGTTCGATAACTGGCGCACAAGAAAAGATGAACATATGAAACTTTACAAACGAAAATTCCGATCTTTTTGTCATTTTCGTTTTTGCTACAACCCGCGACAGATCCATGATTACGAAACCAGAATACTTTGAAACATCAAATATATTTTGTGAACACTCTCACGAAATATTCAAGAGAAACAGAAGGGAGGTGAAATGATAGGAACTAACTTACGAGAACATCTTGAAAATGTCTCGTTAAACTGATGTTGCCATTGTGGAAGTTTCTCCATTTCCTGTCATCAGCCAGGAAGTTTGCGGGTTATAAGGCAGTTTTGTTTGACTTCCATTCATTCTTCTGAATATGTTGTTTATAACAATTCTATTTTATCATTCCATCCGGTGTAACAATCACTGACATGAACACTGTGACGCAAGAGGCTGCACAGCTTCTATGAGATTTTTTTATTAGCTTTAACGCATACGGTGCCGCCATCTTGGATTTCACTGCTATTCTGCCTCAATGTAATACCTTATTGGCTGGTTGTTATATTTCATGGTTCTTGGTTCACGTGTTCGCAGTTTTACAGGTCGTTTCGAAATCGATATTTGGTTTCCCTTCTTCCCGCATTTTTATGTTGTTTCATAGGTTCTGGTTTTAACTAAAGTGGTGTAGCTGTGATGTTCTATATGCCCATGTATTTTTACAATTGCTAAGACTCAGTTTTTAACTCCCAAATTTTTTAAGAGAATTTAATTTTCGTTCATACCTGTCTTTGCAACATTTAGTAACAAGCTTATTTTTTTACGGCGAGGAGTTGTTAACCCAATTCCCCCCCCCCATCAAGGACCACCCCTTGTCGGCTGTCCGCGACTGCTTATTTAATATATATTAGCAGTTACCCTCCGTATCAGGTCGGTTAATCTGGCTCAGGATAGGGACCAGTGGAGGGCTCTTGTGTACACTGTAATGAACCTTCGGGTTCCATAAAATGTTGGGAAGTCAGCTGCACAACTGGCGGCTTCTCAAGAAGGGCTCAGCTCCATGAAGTAAGCAAGTAAATCAGTCAGTTATAAGTCGTGCCATAGTTCAGGCGGTTAGCCACTGGCTTCCCACCGCGGCAGCCCGGGTTCGAACCCAGGTCAGGATATGTGGGATTTGTGGCGAACAATGTGGCACTGGGGCAGGTTTTCTCCGGGTACTTCGGTTTCCCCTGCCAATTCTCATTCCACCGACTGCTTCACATACATCATCTATCATCCGGGACTGGTACCTAGTTATACTGCATAATGAGGAGCTTCATAACTTTTACTCTTCTCCAAGTATAAGTAGAGTGATCAAGTCAAGGAGGTTGAGGTGGGTNATGGGGGAGACGAGGAATGCGTATAGGATATTGGTAGGAAAGCCAGAAGGAAAGAGACCACAGGGGAGACCAAGGCGTAGGTGGGTGGACAATATTAGAATGGATCCTAGAGAGATAGGATGGGATGGTATGGATTGGATAGATCTGACTCAGGTTAAGGACCAGTGGAGGGCTCTTGTGAACACGGTAATGAACCTTCGGGTTCCATAAAATGCTGGGAAATTCTAGAGTAGCTGCAGAATTGGCGGCTCCTCAAGAAGGGCTCAGCTCCATGAGTAAGTAAATAAGTAAGTAAGTAAGTAAGTACATACCGATCTAATATACCCCATGCTTAAAATGAAGCCGTAATCGCACAGCGGCTCAACATACAAAATATTGAAATATGTAGATTTCACTGAAATTTACTAATTTAAATTTAAAATAATTTTTAAATGTGGTTGATACGTAACATATTCAGGGAAAACCATATGACTGTGCAGTCCAGCTTTATAAACCATATATAATCACATGACGTGCGCCTGTCCGCTCTTGTTTACTGTATTCTTAGTTATATAACATTTGCTGTACCTGTCACACTTCACGTACTTGCCATGTAAACGTTTACGGTCAATTACAGGTGAGAGAGACCCGCCCTAAGGGAATGTGGAACTGAAACGCAAGGCTAGCACACACCACTAAAAATCACAAACCAGGTGTTATAATAGTGAAGTGTGTGTATATAAAGTAAAGTAAAGCTGTCCCTGTAACAGGCCGTGAAGGCCCATAGGGTTGTGAGACGTTGAGGGCCCCACATTATCTAGACAATCGGCTCAAAGATGGCGGTAAGGTTGTCAGCCTTACGCGTCAGCCGCGCTTTACTCCCCAGGAAAATTATTTATTTAATTCCTGGTACTCATTTCTGTTAGAAGCTGAGTGAACCCCAGGGCCATAGTGCGGCCGGAAGGATTAGGTCAATTGAAAAAAAAAATCCAATGACCTAATCGGGATTTGAACCCGCGACCTTCCGACTTGTAGCATAGTGCTGCATGTGGGTTCCAGGGCTAAAAGCAACCCTGGTGCGTGTCAGGTGTATCAGTCTTGCAGTATTCCCCGTGTCTTCCATCGACTGTTTTGTTGTAACTATGTGCAGAACAGTCGAGATCCTTTGGATGACCTTTGCATAGGTGGGAAATGGATGTTAAAGTAATGGACCCCGTGTGGAGGCGGGTAAGAACACCCAGCAAATCCTAGAAGGCGACGAAAATGGAACCCGATGTCTGGGGGAATAACTGGGTCACCCTCTCACTGGGAGGGTGGGGAGGATAAATACAGAGACTTGATCCTCCAGGTTGGCGGTTGGGCGCAAGGTTGACGACCTTGCTCTGTAAAGAAATTACTACGAAATCCAAAGAAGTAAAAAACGCATGGTCCCATTCGGGGGGATGTCTAGTAAAATTTTCTGAGGAACTCAGTGGCTCAAAAAAGGGCTGTGCCAATGATTATGGTGATTAAAGAAATTGGGTTTCAAATTGTGGACTGAGTTCTTCTGAATAAAGACTGGAACCAGCGGCAGGCTCTTCCGAAAACGGTAAGGAATGTTCGGGTTCCGCAAAAGCCGAAGAAATTCTAGACTATCTGAGGGATTATTAGGTTTTTAAGGAGGACTCTGCTCTGTACAGTTAGTCCTAAGTGATAGGAGTTTGTCTTTTGATTTCTATGCACAGTCTGATTCTAATTTCGTATGGCGCAGAAAATAACTAAAGCAAATGGATAACACACCGTCACAAGAGTGCATCATTTCCATACATCTTCCCCTTATACACAAAATACCGCATACTAGCACAGTTAACAATGAATTGAGACAGAGAGAACGTAGATCTGTCTTAATTGTCTGCATTATTGCCACTGTAAACCCATACACAGTATGCCAACTAAATAGTACTGTACTTCAAACAGTGCTCTATGCATCTGAGAGAGCCTCACGAAGCACTGTTTGGAGGTTTTGAGAAAAATATTTTAAGGAGAATCTATGAAGCAGTACAAATTGATGGAGTCTGACGAAGACGTTATAATAAGGAATTGTATAGTTTAATTAATGATATTGATATTCATTCATTCATCTGTAATCTGTCAAAACGACAGGTCCACAGTCTCTTCCAAAACAGTTCCTCCACTTGATGCGATCTAGAGCTTTCTCCTTCAAATGAAAATATCCTCTTCTGTCCCCAAGGTCATGCAGCATCTTCTTACGTCTTGTTCCTCATCTTCTGGTCACTTCTATCCGCCCCTCTATCTTTCCTTCAATAACTTCTTTTAGAAGGCAGTTACCGCGTAAGATATGACCAGCTGGACTACATCCTTGTGAAACATCGATTCAGATGTTGATATAATTAAAAAAATAACTAGATTGAGATGGGCAGGCCATGTGATAAGGAGAGAAAATGAAGAAATTATAAAAAGATTAAAGACTGTAAAACCGGAAGGGAAAAGGCAGAACGGCAAACCAAGAAGAAGGTGGACTGATAGTGTGCAGGACTTGAGGAGCTTGGGTGTGGTGAATTGTAAAGCAAAGGCACAAGATAGGGATGGCTGGAGAAAGATTTTAGAGCAGGTTAATACCCAACGAGGGTTTAGTGCCCATAATAACCCTATGGTATTTCTTCCAACGTTTATGTACACTAATCACGCAGAAACGGTACAACGGATAATACTCACAAGTTCAAGGAACTTAAGGAAATGGACTCTGCTTATCGCCATGTCAGGACCTGAAACAACGAAAATCACAGTTATTGGTTCATCTGCACATATTTTAAAGATACCGAAATAGATACGTGTATATCTGTCTTGTGTTCAGGACTCGTTTCCACGAAGGCTGCATTACTTCTACCTCTTCAATCGCAATACGTATTGAACAAATTATACCTAAATTAAATGCAGCTTGCTATGCGATGAGATCAATTAAGCCTTTTATGTCACAGGAAACATTGAAGATGGTTTACCATGCCTACTTTCATTCTATTATGAACTATGGATTAATATTTTGGGGGAACTCTTCACATAGTGTAATAATTTTTAAAATACAAAAGAATATAATAAGAATCATTACAGGATGTAGAAGTAGAGATTCATGTAGAGAATTATTTAAGAAATTAAAAATTCTACCGCTTCAATCGCAATACATATTATCGCTTCTCCTATTTGTTGTTTACAACAAAGATAAATTCAAATTAAATTCTGATGTCTATAACATGAATACTAGACAAAAATATAACTTCCACCTACCCTCATCAACTTTATCAGTATATCAAAAAGGAGTCTACTTTACTGGCATAAAAGTGTTCAACAATCTGCCACAAAGTATTAAAAACTTGGGCAATGATACTAAAAAGTTTAAATCAGAGTTAAAGAATTATCTACATGCTCATTCCTTCTACTCTTTAGGTGAATACTTCAATGTAAGTTATATTAATTTTTAAGCTAAAATTGCCTGTACTTATGTATGTAACCTTTTGACTTGTTCTGTATCCAAAGGTACTAACCTACTTAGGATTTATAGAATGTAAATAAATTCAATTCAATTCAATTCAACAGCACTATAACAAATCTTGCTATATTATTACAGACTTAATTCTATAACAACTCACTGCTATACCACGTTTGCAGCTGGCCCTCGCCAGCAAAATGTGGGAGCCTCTACCTCTCACACCCCTATGGGCCTTCACGGCCCGTTACAGGTATAGATTAATAAACTGACAAATTATTTGTATGAAGTGATACACAAAACAGAAATATCAGACCGTTACGAAGCTGCAAACGAAATTTAGTACTTAAAATAGCATGCAGATTTCACAAAGACAAACTTAACTCTAAACTTCAACATAATTAGTTTCTCTGAAGCAAGTTTATATTTTGAGGTTATCACGGTTGTAATGTGTTGCATATTATTTAGCAGAATAATGTACTGGCCTATTTAATTCCATGCTTGTCACAGGTCTACAGTAAGAGGCATGTGACCAGATTTATGAAGCTTACACCATGTTATTTTCTTTGTTAAAAGGACGTGATAATGACAGTGAGTGTTTTGTGAACTCGCCTCACGTTCAAGTTTGCACGAAAAGTGCATCGGAACACACCCAACCTGCTTAACGCGTAATACACGCGTTTCCGTTTAACACAGATCCATATGAAATGCAGTGTTTCTGTTTTTCTTTATGGTATCTATGTTATTTCCCAACAGATTCACATCATCAGCACAGACCAGCAGCTAATGTGAATTTCAGTCCCACCTGATTTTCCTGGACCTTCCTAATGGCATACTCCAAAGCAAAGTTGAAAAGCAATGGCTATAAAGCATCTCCTAGTTTTAGACCATTCTGGATAGGAAAATTATCAGACCAATGAAGAAAGCAGTCTTCTGGGATTTGGCACCGTGTATATGTGGTGTTAACCGACGTTTCGGAGGAACGTATCGCCTTCATCTTCAGGGTAGAAGAAAAAATATAAGAAATCTGCAAGCGAAGAGACCGTGACCGGTTCTCACGGTCTCTTCGCTTGCAGATTTCTTATATTTTTTCTTCTACCCTGAAGATGAAGGCGATACGTTCCTCCGAAACGTCGGTTAACACCACATATACACGGTGCCAAATCCCAGAAGACTGCTTTCTTCATAGTCACCGCCGTGAAAGCCTTAAATCTTACATATCAGACCAATGTTTACATATACGGATTTTACTACATGTTTCGTTTAATTGAATTTTAATCAGCCTACCTAGTTTCATGGGTATCCTAAACGCTATGAGAATACTGTATATTACTTCCCTCATAACTGAACCATTGGCTTTCTTGAAGCTTATGAATAGTTGGTGTACTGTATCATTGTACGCCCATTTTTTTCTCAAGTATCAGACGACTGCAAAAGATCTAACCAGTACTTGATCTGTTACGTCGAAACCCACACTGATGATGCGCAATATTTCATCTATGTATGGACCCAACCTTGAGAGGAATATATTAGATAAAATTATGTATGAAGTTGATAGTGATATCGCCTCGATAATTACTACAGTCAGTTTTATCACCCTTCTTGTGAACTGGTACAATAATAGACTCCTTCCACTGATCAGGCAATTCTTCCTTATTCCAAATAGAATTAATGGGTTTATGGATTACATGACATATGCCAGAGGAAAGAACTCCTCATAACCACCCATAAGCACTTCAAATCATAGAATACAGTAACCCAACTTCTGCATCACTATCCCCCGAACCCTCCCCGCTTAACTACCCCACATTTCCCGAACTTATGGAGCAGAGAAACAGGATAATCAGACGCAGCGACTCGTAGCTTTCTCAGAACTGAATTTAACATTGACGGGCGGTGAAGGTGCGGTGTCGCTTTGCTAATCCAGGCCTGAAGGGACAACTTGTAATGGCCAGTTTTTAAATTCAAAAACTTTTATTCAGATACGATGGACATTGAACAAAAATCCCTGGCCCTGGCTACAGGGGCAAAAATCAATTTGCATAAAGTTTACACAAGTGCAGTTTTGATTGATTTTTACTAGACCAAACAAAACCGTTGTTCAATTAATACCGGCGAAAGCAGCGGCCTGTCCGAGGCACGAAAGCAGACAGCTGTTTGATAATTAGCAAAATGACTATGATAATTCAGAGGATTTAACAAAAATGTAAATCATATTTTCCCGAAGGGAAATTTTGGAGAAACACATGTAAAGACACGATTTATTTAACAGTCCAGTATCATGATAACTACCAAGACTCTTCAAGAACGGAAGTGCAGTAAAGTAAACTGTTTTTCCATACTGAGCAACACCGTCAGTGCTCTGTACAAATAATCTCTCTGTTACACTACGTGATCTCACAAAGCCGCAGATGAGAAAAGCAGAAAGTGGGTACACATGTCGCAAAATATTACCGAGCTTCGATGAACGTTACGTGGGATAACCAACCATCTACGTACGGCGAAGACGATGAAACCGCCAAGCGACAGCGCATGCGGAGAGAGCCCAGTCCCCCCTTGTACCCCCCGCCCTTTCCATCTTCATGTGACGAGGCTCAGGCTCGGAGATATTTTGCGGAGAGTGTAACCACGGGTCAAAAACGCCGAAATAATTAAATTTCCTGTTGATTGTATGTACTTTTCTTTCTTCCGGTCATATAAAAAAAACTCCATGGTTTTAGTCCACAAGCGAACTATACCGACCGAGCGACCGCCGCTTGTCGGCGAAGTTAGTGCCAACTTTAGTGGATAGAGTGTGTCACGTGGTCAGCGTAACGAAAACCCACGGTCGTTAATTTCGGTTTTCTAGACCGGAGCCGATATTTCCTTCAAATAGCTCCTCAATTATCCTCACGAGGCTGAGTGGACCCCGTTCCAGACCGTCTACTTCACAGAAAATCTGATCACGCCAGGAACCGAACCCGGACCTCTGGATCTGTAGTCAGGAACTCTCACCACTAGTCCACAGAGGTGGTCACCGCTCGTATATAAAGGATGAATTTGAATAACCAAGCACATTATCAGCAATAACTCTCCTAATTCCCACCCGGTTCTATCACTGCTCCGAAACCAGTTACGCTGGAGTAGTTAAGAGGCTCTTCAGTGCTTCCATAAGAACGTAGGATTTGTATCGTAAATATACAGGTAGAACAACCACTTCCTGTAATATCCAGTCCCGTTCGTGGTTGATAATAATTTAAAAATAACTGCATAGGCATCAACAGGAAGTTTCTTGCAGCAGCTCGGTGCTCCTATGCTACATGATTGCTCAGACTCAGAATTGCTTGTCCTGCCATCTGTAACACTTTGAAGCGTGAATATCTTTTACGAAAACAAAATAATAACTCCGTAGTTTTAGTCCGCAAGCGAACTATACCAACCGAGATACTGCCGCTTGTCGGCGAAGCTAGTTCCAACTTTAGAGGATAGAGGGTGTCGCGTGGTCAGCGCAACAAATCCCCACTGCTGTTAATTTCGGATTTCTAGACCGGAGCCGCTATTTCCTTGAAGTAGCTCATCAATTATCCTGACGAGGCTGAGTGGACCCCGTTCCAGACGCACTACTTAGAAAATGTGGTAGCGCCAGGAAGCGAACCGGGACCTCTGTATCTGTAGTCGGGAACTCTAACCACTAATATTATTTAAAAATTCAGTTCCTACCCCACAAGAAACAAACTACGTCTTAATTATAAAGACAAACTGGTTAACGTTATTTAGGAAAATATTTCGTGTTTAGTGTACGAATCACACGTAACCCATTTTACTTTTTTTTTACTCAGGGAACTGAGCCCTTCTGGAGGAGCCGCCAATTCTGCAGCTACTCAAGAATTTCCCAGCATTTTATGGAACCCGAAGGTTCATTACCGTGTCCCTATCCTGAGCCAGATCTTTCCNCAACAGGAAGTTTCTTGCAGCAGCTCGGTGCTCCTATGCTACATGATTGCTCAGACTCAGAATTGCTTGTCCTGCCATCTGTAACACTTTGAAGCGTGAATATCTTTTACGAAAACAAAATAATAACTCCGTAGTTTTAGTCCGCAAGCGAACTATACCAACCGAGATACTGCCGCTTGTCGGCGAAGCTAGTTCCAACTTTAGAGGATAGAGGGTGTCGCGTGGTCAGCGCAACAAATCCCCACTGCTGTTAATTTCGGATTTCTAGACCGGAGCCGCTATTTCCTTGAAGTAGCTCATCAATTATCCTGACGAGGCTGAGTGGACCCCGTTCCAGACGCACTACTTAGAAAATGTGGTAGCGCCAGGAAGCGAACCGGGACCTCTGTATCTGTAGTCGGGAACTCTAACCACTAATATTATTTAAAAATTCAGTTCCTACCCCACAAGAAACAAACTACGTCTTAATTATAAAGACAAACTGGTTAACGTTATTTAGGAAAATATTTCGTGTTTAGTGTACGAATCACACGTAACCCATTTTACTTTTTTTTTACTCAGGGAACTGAGCCCTTCTGGAGGAGCCGCCAATTCTGCAGCTACTCAAGAATTTCCCAGCATTTTATGGAACCCGAAGGTTCATTACCGTGTCCCTATCCTGAGCCAGATCTTTCCACCAATCCATACCATCCCATCCTATCTCTCTAAGATCCATTCTAATATTGTCCACCCACCTACGCCTTGGTCTTCCTTGTGGTCTCTTTCCTTCTGGCTTTCCCACACACACACTAACTAATGTGGTTTGAAGAGTTAAAGCCACGAATCTCTAAGAACGCTCACATCCCATAAAGCTAACAACTGATGTATNGAAAACAAAATAATAACTCCGTAGTTTTAGTCCGCAAGCGAACTATACCAACCGAGATACTGCCGCTTGTCGGCGAAGCTAGTTCCAACTTTAGAGGATAGAGGGTGTCGCGTGGTCAGCGCAACAAATCCCCACTGCTGTTAATTTCGGATTTCTAGACCGGAGCCGCTATTTCCTTGAAGTAGCTCATCAATTATCCTCACGAGGCTGGGAGGACGCCGTTAAAGACCCACTACTTAGAAAATCTGGTAGCGCCAGGAAGCGAACCGGGACCTCTGTATCTGTAGTCGGGAACTCTAACCACTAATATTATTTAAAAATTCAGTTCCTACCCCACAAGAAACAAACTACGTCTTAATTATAAAGACAAACTGGTTAACGTTATTTAGGAAAATATTTCGTGTTTAGTGTACGAATCACACGTAACCCATTTTACTTTTTTTTTACTCAGGGAACTGAGCCCTTCTGGAGGAGCCGCCAATTCTGCAGCTACTCAAGAATTTCCCAGCATTTTATGGAACCCGAAGGTTCATTACCGTGTCCCTATCCTGAGCCAGATCTTTCCACCAATCCATACCATCCCATCCTATCTCTCTAAGATCCATTCTAATATTGTCCACCCACCTACGCCTTGGTCTTCCTTGTGGTCTCTTTCCTTCTGGCTTTCCCACACACACACTAACTAATGTGGTTTGAAGAGTTAAAGCCACGAATCTCTAAGAACGCTCACATCCCATAAAGCTAACAACTGATGTATTTTTTATATTGCTAGTGGGGTGAGACTAAGTCCCTTGTACTGCGGCCACTTCTGGCCTATTGTACTAGCCCCAGATGATAGGTGAGGGTGATTGTGGAGCAATTGGTGGAATGAAGATTGGCAGGGGAAACCGAAGTACCCGGAGAAAACCTGCCGCAGCGCCACTCTGTCCACCACAAATCCCACTTGACCAGACCCGGGATCGAACCCGGGCCGCCGCGGTGGGAAGCCAGCGACTAACCGCTTGAACTTTGGCGCGGCCAACAACAGATGTAACAATTACCTTCTAGGATATTAATCTGCGATAGCAAGTTAGAGTGGAGTATAACAACAGATATATAAACAAGAAAATAAGGTTCAGTTAATTATAAAGGAGGTTAATTCGCTTTCTGTCCTGTTTGATGAATGCCTCGCCTTGGCCTAGAATATTTACAATTAGCTTTCCTATGTAACTATTATTTTAGTTTTAGAATTCTAGCAACGCTGCTTATCTCCTGCATCTCCGCGTAATGATGACACAGCAGGCAGCTCACAAAAACTGCGCTGACCTCGACGCACCCAATATAGAGAGAAAAGAGAACGAATTATATATCAAGTGAAAAAAAATCGCAGTTCACGTCAACTGTCCGTTGGAAGATACGGACATAGTGGTCATTGCTGTCGTAATAAAAATCAAAACTGTTCACCCAGACAAACTTCGTATATCAACTGCCAACTTTTTTTCTGTTGCATGAAAGTAGTGGTATATATATGACATAAATAATTGCAATTAGATTATGTCTTTCGGGACGTCAAACCTAAAGATAGAGGTAGTTAAGTTCCTCCTAAATATTGGTATCCGCCTCAAAGGATAAGTTGTGTCACAACCCACAGGACCACAAGCTGAACGCCTATCGCCGTGAAAAAGTGGAAACTTTGGATTAGCTTGTCTGATACTGATTCCAGGGTAGTCCACATTGTAAGCTCATTTAAACTGATACACAACCCCTTCTTCACACATGTATTCATTTATAATCATTCTGTGTATTTAATACGTTTCCGTAAAGTATCTCTACCTGCTAACGTAAAGCTATCCCTGTAACAGGCCGTGGAGGCCCAGAGGGTTGTGAGACGTCGAGGCTCCCACATTTTCAAGACAGTCGGTTCATAGATGGCGGTAAGGTTGTCAGCCTTACGCACCGGCCGCCCTTTAACCCCCCAGGAAAATTCCTGGTACTCATTTCTGTTAGAGGCTGAGTCGACCTCAGGGCCATAGTGCAGCTGGAAAGATTAGGTCAACTGAAAAATCAGTGACCTCATCAGGAATCGAACCCGCATCTTTCCGGCTTGTAGCATAGTGCCTCAGCCAACAACGCTACCGCGTGCCACCCTTTTACCTGATATGTTAACAAAGAAACCAAAGCCTAAAAACGGACTGAAAAAAAGATAGGCCTAGTATGGCTTTTCCGATTGGCGAATGCGAATCGCGCTTTGTAATATTAACTGTTCATCACGTGATTTCGTAACGGTATTAGTCTTCCCCTATCAAAAATACTTACACATATTCTGTTCAGGAAGGTGTGGTTTCCGGTCCTTGACGCATTAATCACTGCCGTCGTGCAATATGGTGGCCGTTTGTAGCAAATGGCGGTTCTTTAAATCCCCAGATATTGTAACGATGAGCGTGCATCTAAGTGGCTCTGCTTGAGATCAAGCAGTAGTTGTCAGTGCTGTGTTAGGAATACGAGGCCGTTACTTGTTGCCATGATCTACTCTAATCGTAGGTTTCATGGCCTCATGACCTTACAGTTAGTGACACGTGGAGAATGTCTACCAGCATGCCAGAAGTATCTTAGAATATATTAATATGCAGACGCTAACTCCACAGTTCTAAATTACTGCCGTGAGGTTCTTCAAATTTAATTATGTTTTGCGTTACTACAATATTTTCATTGTTAGACGGTCGTTGTGCGCATGTTAAAAAATAACGCCACTGAAAACGTGCACTCCACATGGAAGAACGCAACTTTCCAAATACCTCATGTCTTGATGTGTGTAAAAATATGCTGGCCGTTAAAGAGCAACATTCTTTCATCCTGTTGCGTATAACTGTCACTAGTAATGGGGCCGTCGAGGGCTGATTATTATTATTATTATTATTATTATTATTATTATTATTATTATTTTCAATTGACCTAACCCTTTCAGCCGCACTACGGCACTGGGGTCGACTCAGCCTCTAGCAGAAATGAGCACCAGGAATATGGAATCAAACACCGAAGCTTCACATCTTCATCAAATCTGTAATTTAGGTCATGTACCTTTACGTTAACAGGGAGCCGTTCAAGAAAAATGTAAATTGTTGACCTTCATAAATATGCTACAGTGACTCATAAAAAGTAAATTTGTCCCGCTACTTAACTAATTAAGCACTACGCCATAAAGACGTATGGGGGAGCAGATGTATAGACCCACGTATTCAAGACCTCGGCCCTAGTTNATAGCTACATCATTCGCGACATCTGAACTAGATGGAGATGAATGGTCAGCTTATCTCTCCGGCCGTTTAAACCCTGGTACCCATTCAATAGGAGGCTGGGTGGGCCCCAAAGCCTGTCTGGACGATACGGAGAAAATTCTTGACCCTACCGGGACTCGAACTCCGACCCTTCGAACGTTCAAGCCCGTAGTTAATCGCTATACTGACCGCGATATCCCGGCTCGCATCTAATGAAAAAAACCAAAAATGAATTCAGAAGATCACTTTCGCTGTGAACCAACTAATACCAAAATTAATCCGAAATCTGCACACCAGTTTTTGAGGCGAAACATGAGAGAAGACGCGACGTCCCCATTAGGGGCCAACTTTATGAACGTGCACAGTGCATATCTTACATAAACTGGATTTGCTAGTGGGGTGGGACTAAGGCCCTTGTACTGCGGCCACTTCTGGCCTATTGTACCAGCCCCAGATGATAGGCGAGGGTGATTGTGGAGCAATCGGTGGAATGAAGATTGTAGGGAAAACCGAAGTACTCGGAGAAAACCTGCCTCACTTTGTCCACCACAAATCCCACTTGACCAGACCCTGGATCGAACCCGGACCGCCGTGGTGGGAAGCCAGCGACTAACCGCTTGAGCTATGGCACGGCCCTAAAACTGAGGTCTGTTTGAATGCTACATCAGTCTGAAACCTCTGTAGCGTGAAGAGAGAGACCGGTAAAGGAGCACTCGTACAACGTTGGAGTAAGTGAAAGTGAAAGTTAGAATGGAAGTGAGAGGCACTTTATTGCAGGGGGAGACTGAATATCATTCTGTTGGAAGGTTCCCAGGCTTCGTCAGCTCGTCCTTCTGAAATTCATCTATATGATACCACCCAATGTACTGCGTATCACAAAACACTGTATCTCTGTTATAATGACCAACCCGTCAACGCTGCATATGGATTCATCGGTTGATCTGCCCGTCCAGTATACTGCTGCCTATCTTCGTCAGCACAGTTATTCGTGGTTTCAGACCCCACTGGGACCCATAACCAAATTTCTGTTCATTCCAAGACCACTGACACATTTTGAAATAGGCCTCCTCTTAGACGAGAGGGTGGGTTGGTCTTTCTCAGCAGCACTGCGTTTATTCCACAGTACACCTACTCGACTGGTCTGGTCTCGTCTGGCAAACTGCTGCTATCCTTCGCCAGCACAGCCATTTTTGGTTTCGAGCCTCGTCGCGACCCACGGCCATATTCATCTCAAAACTGACCTTTAACGTTTAACATTTCCCTGTGTTGTGCCTGTAGATAAAGGTAAAACGTAAAGGTAAAGATATCCCTGTAACACGCCGTGTAGGTCCACAGTAATGTGAGACGTCGAGGCTCCCACACTTTATCCAGACAGTCGGCGCACAGATGGCGGTAAGGTTGTCAGACTTACGCGCCGGCCCACCTTTACCCCCTCCCCCCACAGGAAGGTTCCTGGTATTCAATTCTGTTAGAAGCTGAGTCGACTCCAGGGCCTTAGTGCGGCTGGGAGATTAGGTCAACTGAAAAATCCAATCGAACCCGTGACCTTCCGGCTTGTAGCATAGAGACATAGGAATATATGGGAGGGCAATTTTAAAATAATCTTAAGGAAGTAGAGTGGCAGGGTGTGGACTGGATTCCTCTGACTCAGGATAGGGGCCAGTGACAGGCTCCTGTGAACGCAGTAATGAACCTTCGCGTTCAACTTAAAAAGCGGGCAATTTCTTAACTGCGGAACTGATGAGTTCTCAAGGACTCTACCTCATGGAGTAAGTCTGAGATAAATTCAATTTTAACACCCGGCCAGGAGTGCCATAACTCGAAGCCGTTAAACGCTCAGGATCCAACTCCTTCCTTGGTAAATACCTCATTCTATAATGAACGAATTTCAACCCTTTATTTCCTTCGCTGTTGGCCCAGAACTTTATTCCAAAGCGTGAATTGAAAAGTTTGCAGATTAATTTTTAGTGGAAACTTATTTTTTGGTTGGTGTTTTTAATGAAATCCGACAGCATAGATACTTATGTGTAGAAACCCTGCGTGGGTACCATTAATTGAAGGAGCGCGTAAGTCAGATCAGTCAGCCAGTTTCGTCACGCTTGCCACGGGTTTCCCACTCCAGTTCTAAATCGTGAACTGACGTAACTGTGTGCGGAAGGCCACCGCCTATCATCCGTACACATCAACCATACATAAGGACTACAACTCTAAGGTTACGTTTTCATGTAAATGAGTACACCTCCGTATTACGTCATCAAAATAGCCATAGTCACTGCCTTCCTCGTCCAAAAACTGGCCGAGTGAGTCGATACAATGGACCACGTTCCACAATGTACATTTATTGGTGGCAGAAGTGTTTGGAACTGATTCATTCTTAAGAAACAGCCAGTTATGCAGTTAATCAAGGATTTCTCAACAATTTATGGAACCTGAAGGTTCATTACCGGGTTCACAATAGCCCTCCACAGGCCCCTATACCAACCCCATCCCATCTAAGATCTATTTTAATGTTATCCAACACCTACGTCTGGGTCTTCCTACTGGTCTCTCTCCTTCTGGCTTTCCCGCCAATATCTTATGCACTTCTCTTCTCCCCCATTCGTGCTACATGTCCTGCCCATCTCATAGTCTTTGACTTGATCATTCTAATTATACCTTGTGAAGAGTACAAGTTATGAAGCTCCTTACTATGCAGTTTCCTCCAACCTCCTATTACTTCATGTTCTACTCAGCACCTGTTCTCAGACACCCTCAGTCTATGTTTCTCCCTTAGAGACCAATTTCACGCCCATACAGAACCACTGGCAAAATTATAGCTTTGTATATTCTGATTTTTACGTATATGTGTGAACGAAATTATGCCCTAACATTTTTTTTAGGAACGTAAGACCGGGCTCTTGAAAATTACATTTGCTCTTCCCTTAGACCTTGCAACCCACATACTACTCAGTAAGCAGAACTGGACCCCAGCTCTCATCCCAATTTCGACCTTTCGTATGAAAATGTACAAGAGGAAAGGGCGGAAGTCTCGATTATATCATCGATTCTCGGAAAGAAATCACAGCAACACGCATAAATGGCTGGCCCAATGCTTGATCACTCCCCGAAAGCGCAACCAATTGGACAAGTCCTTCACAAGGGAACTCAGAAGAGAATACACGCCACGCATAGCCTGCTGGGTCTCTTCTTTACGTACAGAGTGAAAGGAAGTGTCAATTATTACATCATCATAGCGTCATCAGAGTCAGGCCAAGAATTTCAGACTTGGGCGGACTGTAATAAGATGATTATGTGGTGATTAATAAACCCACACGCGGGGTAAAGTTTATCAGACGTGAATAAGCAATGTTCATATATAAAAACAGAATCTTACGCCACATAACGCGGTTTAGATGCTCTGAGCTAATCAAATCATCTCAGTCGATAAGTTTCATCAATCCGGCGAAGAATTCCAACTTTTCGGAGACGATCTCTGTCTCCTTCAACAGAGAAATTATATGATATTCTTTGATTTATGAATATTTACGTATCGAGGCCATACCATATCGGAGACCATGGATTTGTGAAAATACAGGCCTGTAAACCAAATCACTGCCGTTATCCATCACGTAATTCCCCTGATGATACACACACAGACGGCCTGGGAAACGTTTTGATTTTTGTTGCGGATCGCCAGGCTGACCAACCGAGAAGCTAGGGAAGCTTTAATTCTGATAGATATTTTACAGGAAGGTTGGTAAGCCTTATCGAAATGTTAATTGTCATATTAAGATAATTTTCTCTGAACAACTACAAATTCTACAGCCTTGAAATTTGGTATTTATGGGCTTTCTGTATGTACTGATTTTTTTTTTACATTCTTGACACATTTTCTGCCGCAAATGTTGAGATATTCTTTGAGAATAAAAAATGGTAAGAAATCTGTTTACAAGTATTTTCCCAAGAAAAGATAACAGTAGTTACAGAAATCCGTGTCTAGCAAATTTCAGAACTGTACAGTTTGTAGTTGTTTAGGAAAATTTACCTTAATATAACAAAACTGACATGTACCGGGGAGGGGAGGTATAGTACCACCATTCTTGATCTCGGCACTAGATGGAGGTAACTGATCAGCCTCACGCCCCGTCCGCTTTGCCCCCGAGGAAAGGACCTCCGTTACTTATCAGTT